TATGCAAGTTTTTGAACTTTTGCCATAGAAAACGTGGACTGGCAAGGCTAAAACCTCGATGTTCTTGATGAGCGTGAAGTACTCTGTCGAATGATGTACAATTAAGCCAAACATGGAATAGTGCTCGTTGTTTGAATTTGGGCCGCATTGAAACGACTTGTGAAAAGTCGTATTTCTTGGTTGTTTAAATTATTCTTTCAAGGGTAATAGCATTTATGGTATTTATCTCACAATCATTTCGAACTATTTGGTCCATGTGAGTTTTAAAATTGATGTCTTGTAAAACGAATAGTATCAAACAAAAACTTTATTTTATTTTATTTTGTTATATTCAGGATAACAGAATTAGGTAAATCCATAACAGCTGCACAAAGTTTTTTTGATTTGTTTGAAAGACAACCATTGATTGATAATTGCTCAATACAAGGAAAAGAAATTGTATGTCTATTTTGAAAAATTGCCGGTTATATTCAAATACGAATATGCATTAATTAGAACTGTCTCATCGTCCATTTTAGCCAAATTTTAATGGCAATATTAAATTTGATCTGGTCCAATTTTGCTATCCGACTCGATCAGAAGTAGTAGTGTTTAATAAAATTAAATTGAGCATTAACCGTGGCCAATGTATTGCCCTTGTTGGTAAGCTTTAATATTCATAGACTTTCTTGCCATTGATTCAGATGATGATTTAAAGGTGCAAGTGGCTGTTAAGTTTATTTATCAATGAGGAGAGCAGCATAATAGCCAATCGGTTTACAACAGAATATCAATAACTATTGATTTTATAATTAGTGAACAACTCAGTGGAAAATCGACGATTATACAACTCATTGAGCGATTCTATGATGTCAGCGGAGGATGTTTGGTAAGTGACCAAAGCTATCTCTGTTTTAGAAAGAGTGATAGAGGTATTTGTGAGCTTGTAGTACATTGATGGTCATGATATAAAAAAGTTAAATCTTCAGTGGTTACGAGATGACGTTCGTATATTACATTATTAATCACGCAATGTTAGTATTATGTCTCTAGGATTACTAATTTTTTCGATGCCTCATATGAACAAACAATTTCAAAAATTGGCCTTGTATCGCAAGAGCCTACTTTGTTCGATATGACTGTTCATGAAAATATTGCTTATGGTGACCATAGTCGTCAAATACCAATGATAGAAATAATTGAAGCAGCCAAGAAAGTGAACATTCATGACTTTATTCAATTATTACCACAAGTAAGTGCGCTACGTTCTTTGTTTAAATTATGCAATGGAACAAGTTCATGAACTGATTCATTTTTTAGTAAAAAGCTTTTTTGTATGCTGATTGTATCATGGATAAAGTTAAGATGTAAAAAGGCAGACTGTTACATGAGTTATCCGTCACGCATACACTGTTTTCAAATATGAAATAGCTATAGTTGCTAAATGTAAAGATTAAATTCATTTCCGGAATATTAGTTAGTTAGGCCCCCTTAGCGTTCGATGTAGGATGAGAATCGAGAAGTAGACATAAAAAATAAACTAAAATTATTATGAATTATTATTATTATTTGGTTGTGGCCTGTACGTTAACCACTGAGAAGTAAAGTTTAAGGTATACCATCAGAATGCTACCTTTCGATCTGGTGTGAGTAGCACCCATCATTTCACCAGAAAATTGAAATCACAACCGTTTTCGACAGTTAATTTAATACTTTATATTTTTATCTCGTTCTTTCTACACCGATCTTTTGCTCATGCATTCAGGTGTCCAGTTATACCTTGTGGTTTAACTAGTTTTCCCAACAATGGGAGAGAAATCGTCAAACGGGAGTTATGTTCGTCCAACGAGAATTTTGCTTAGAAGTTCCACACGTTATATCTGGGTAGCGAAAAAAGGTGCAATATGTCAATTTTGTCATTTACGCCAGTCCTACACCAGAATTCTGCTATTTGGTGTAAGAATTATCCACAATCTAGACGCTATTATGACCCTATAGAAGGTTCACGAGAATAATGTATTCATACCAGAATTATGCTTTTACGCAAGAGTCATGCATGCATGATCGAGAAGATATTATGCTGTTCCCACAGGAATTTATATCTCTTTTTAGAATCTTTTTCCACAGTATACGAGAATGATGCACTTACGGGAGACTTATTTGTCTTGTGCGAATAATGCATGATCGAGACGATATTATGCTGTTCCCACAGGAATTGCTATCTCTTTTTAGAATCTTTTTGTCTAGTACATGAGAATAATACTTTTATGCGATTTTTTTGCGATTTGCTGTGAGAATTATGCATGATGGAGAAGATATTATGCTGAAAATACATTATTTCCGTGACCTGAACAAATAAGTTTCTATGAAGAGATACAAAATTCTCGTGAAGAGAGCATAATATCTTTTACGTTGAGCAATATTCTCGTGTAAACACATTATTGCTGTGATCTAGACAAAGAAGTTGTTATGAAGAGATACAATATTCTCGCAATTTTCTCGTTGGAGTAGCATAATAGCGGTTTCTCTCCAACCCGTCAGTTTTCCACATCTAGGACAGGTGTAAAAATTGTTTGAGTCTTTACCAATATCTGTCACTTTAAATCGTACAACTCCACTAGCTATCGCTGACTCTTCTGATCTTCTTTCGTTTGCACGTTCTTTATGTTCTTGTATTATATTTTTGATATTTCTATGGACAGGTCTAACTTGTAAGATGCAGCTGATGAAAACTTATAGTGAAATTTATTTTTGACTGTATTATAAATATGAATTCAGCTCAACGAGCTGATCACGAATAACACGTTCAGAGCACAATTTCTTTGTGGAGAAAAACTCAAATTGCTGAGAGAACCTCAAAATACAAAAAATCGTCCTCTATGATGAAATTGACTTTTTGAGGTGATATTGCAAGATGGAAGGTTCGAACTATATTTTTCTCAATTTTTCAGCTCAACTGAAAACTGTTAGAAAAAGGTTTTCAGTCCATTTTAGAGGTAAGTAATCGTCCGCCATGGGCGTCAGAACCGAATGACTCATTTTGTAAACCTATCAGGTTTTTTTTAAGAGCTGAAGCCGTCATTTGCATCTCAGTAGATTCACTGAAAGCCCAGCTTTAGAAGCATAAATCGCTTTTTTTAAAATTTTGTATCGTTGCTGGGAAAATGCAGTTTTCTAAATAAGAGGGGAAAAAGTCGTAATTCTCAATTTTCTCCAACAGAACCCAACTTCCAGGAAATAAAAATATCACATTTGGAATCAGGATAAGAAAACCAATAGACTCATGTGTATCTCTATCGTATCTGTTGTTGTTTAGTAGCTAAATTGGCGGTTCCGAAGCTGACTGGAAAAGAAATACGTTACAAAAAAACTATAAAGTAGACTTCGTAACAAGTAGTTAAGAATTGAGTTGGAGGAATTGAATTTTTTTAAAAAGTCAGTGCTTCTGGATATTGTAAAAAGAGAAGCAGTTCAGGTGGTAATTCATCCTGAAAACGACGTGCATAATCGTTAAAATGATGACGGTATAACTGCCAAAAATCAAAAAAGAGAGCAAAAACATGAATATACTTTTCTGTCAAAAGGCGAGAAGATTTACAATTTTTACGTAAACCAGATTCACGTAGACACAAATCGCGATCACGCTGAAAATTTGAGTACATTGTCCATGTATCTATTAATGATACATTGTGGGGAAAAAATGGAAACTTAGAAATAAATTTAAGCCAGTAAGCAGAAAAACGATCCACTAAAGTTCTTTCGCCAGTTCAAGAAAAAAATACTCGATAATCGAGAAAATCTAAACCATACATCCGCCTTAAATAAAAAGCATATAAATCGGACAGTTTTCGTTGTTGGATATCATCAGTGAAATAGAAAAAAAATGGAGCGAACCATATAAAAAAAGGGTAGACAAAGGCGAAAAAAGCTCGGCGACGAAGTTTTATGGACAACATACCAGAACGACAAAAAGACGAGAAACAGCATGAAACGAAGAAGCGATTAGACGACGCTGAGAAATAAGCATCTTCCCAAGGCCGAGAAGTGGAGAAATCATATACCCGAGGTACTTGAAAGTTTTTACAAATGAAATAGTCTCACCATTGTACGATAGTTGAAATGGTGATCGATTATGTTTAACATTTATCAACATTGCTTCTGTCCTTTTTGTACCTAGTTCGATTAACCATTTTTTGCAATAGTCTGAAATCTCGTGTAGTGCACCTTGAGATTTACGTTGCAAAAAAGCCATTGCTGAATGATATTGCATACCAAGCGAAGCAAAAAAAAAATAAATCCTGATCATCGGCATAATAATGTTGAGCTTGAGTCGACAAAACTTTAACTAAATCCGCAATAAAAAGAATAAATAAAAGAGGAGAAAGAACAGACCCCTGAGGAGTGTCTCATTGCAACGGAAACGATGTAGAACCTAGATGACTGAACGAAATAATAGCAGTTTTATCTTTAAGCCAGCTATAGATCCACAACCATAACCGAGGGTTAATACGATGCCTAGCTAGTTTTACTAGCAATGCATCGTGCCAAACTCGGTCGAACGCTGATCTAAAATCCACGAATAGGACTAAGCCCGGTCGACTGGAGGAGAGAGTTGTACATAGTTCCTCAAAAAGGGACAGAACACGGGTTTAAAGCCTGACGCCGGTCTGAAATTCACGAGATCAGATTGGGCATCTGGAATCAAACCCATTTCTCTGACGTATTTCTCGAGACGTCGATATAAAGCTCTCTCGTACAGCTTACCAAGAGCATTTAAAATGGAAATAGGCCTCAGCTCATCGAGAGACGGTTAACTGCCCATTTTTCAATAATAAAAATAAGCGCGCATTTTTAAAACATTTCGGAAATGAGTTGGTGAGAGATAAACGATTAAATAGAACAACAAATAGGCAAACGTATTCAATTGGAAGCTTTTTTATTGTTAGGTTCGAAGTTCCGTTTTCGATGTAAATGGCTAATATCCTTTCTAATTTCTTCATACGTCACATTAAAAGGATCTCCTGAATGTGTTAAATATTCTGCCAAAGCTAGCTGCATTTCCTCTTCAACATCCAGCTTTGTTTCTTCTATCACCTGTTCAATTGGAAAACGGAAATGATTCCTGTAATGGTCTGTTAAATGCTGTAGTATGTCTTCAGGGTTTGAAATTAAATTATCACCATCCGTCATTGCTTTGAGATGAGCAGCCTGGGAACTAAAATGCTTTGATGTGAATTTCCAAAATGATGTTGAATCACTAGAAGAGCACAAAGTCAGAAATCTAAGATACGGATCGGTTCTGTAATTTTCAATTAAAGTATTTACATAATGTTTGTGTTCTTGATACAGGTCATATAACCGAAGGCTGCGATTTCTGTTCTTATAATAACGATTACGAAGCCTATGTAGC